TTTGTCTCAAAGGACCACATAGAATTATCTTGAAGGATCGCGTAGATCCCTCGACTCTTGGCATACCAATTATACCTTTAGCTCTCATATCACATACTTTGGCTTTACCATTTATATATTTTCCATAGTTTATAGCACATATTCATATAATCACATAAATAAATAACACATAGTATGCAATATAAGCAGTGCATGTACGCGTAGTAACAAAAAAATCAAAATTATGCCTGCATTCAGGTAAACATGTAATCATAACATTTATTAAACTTTCAAAATATTATTTTAATCAAAACATTGGAAATAGAATCATCGTAAGTTTTCTTTCCATATAGCAATATATTATAGTAGTATGCACTCACCTTTGCCTCACTTGGTCCTAGCAAAATCCTTATCACCCTTGGTCGATATCTTATAACGTTTAATCATTCGAAACTTGCCTTCGTTCAATATCTACACAATAATATGATTAAGATGAATATTGAAGTTCGTATTACTATTAATCAATCATCAATAACTCAAGCTAAAAGAAACACCTAATTCACCATTTCAGGCTGAATAGTATTGGTATTCTATACCTAGTACCGATACTTCCTCACAATGGTATTGATACTATGCTTCAGTATCGATACGCAATCTATATTCTGGAATTCGTCTTTCAAAAAGGGTACCAATACTTATCCATTAGTATCGATACTACCCCTTCGGTATCGATATTGTTCCATTGATTCATACAATTTAATCGGTTTTTTGCTTTGAAGTATCAGTATTATTCATCTAGTACCGATACCCTTGCCCAGAAATTACCCATTTCAACTCGAAAATTGACCAAAACTTACCTAAATCTCCCACATCTATCTCATTTCATGCCTTTAAACTCAACTTCACTTATCAAAACCAACTTATCTCACTTTAACACTCTTAACCATCCAAAACTCTCACTAAACACTTAAAACTAAAAACCATCCCAATTAATCAACATATCCCAAATTCTTTTCCAACACCTTAAACTTCTTATTCTAACTTATGATAAGTCAAATATAACTTCAAAATATATTTACTAATCATTTCTTATTAATTCTCTCAAAAACCCTCTTTACTCAATCACAAATAACTTATCAATCTTTTAATTTCTACTTCTCTTTAAGCTTTCTCAAGCTTCCCTAATACCCCAATAATCAAAACCAATCCAAAAATTACAAGAAATAACTAAGTTAAAGATTTCTTACCTTAGCCCAGAGCTCACGGTAGAAGGAGGAAGAAAAGAGGAAGAGAATTCTAGATTTCTTTCTTTTATTCACATGCTTTAATTCTTTTAAAAGGAATATTAAATTCTTTTCTCTTTAAAAAGACTATAATACCCTTTTAAATCTTCCTTCTTTGAATTAAGTCTTATACACAAAATTCTAGAATCAGTCCTTGAACTATTTAATTAATCAAAATTAACCATGAAGTTTTAAAATCTTACACTTTAGTCATTAATCCATTGTTTGGGGTGTTACATACCACCTATCTTAATGTTTTTCGATATCTTGATTTTTTGTAGGGTTCTTTTCGTCAAATTCTAACTCGATAAGCTATTTTTCGACATTTTATTTTTTGATTCGATCCGATTTACACGTTTGAGCTTCGTTTCTGATGGAATTCTTTTTGCTATGTATCCAAGATATTATAGGACACAAAATTCAAGTTTAATAGTGATCGAGTGGTGTTAAAGATGTTGCAAAAAAATTGAGGTAGTACTTTACTACCTTATGCATGTTTTACGGTACATGTTGATAATGTAAGTAAACTAATTAAGACTCATATGACTGTATAAGGAAGTACATGACCAATATAAATTTTAAGTTGAGTAAAGTTTATACCGTAACTATTCAAATGAGAAATAACAAAAATACCTTTAAGGTTTAGAAAGGACATGGATTGCTGAAAAATAACTTATTAGGTTCAAAAAATAACTCAAACATGGAAATCGAATTGATCAGGCGTGCTGTAACTCGGGGCATCGGAAAAATTTCTAAAAAATTCTAAAATCATTTTAAGGGGTTTTAAAACTCTTACCAAGCTTGGTTCATAATGGTGAATGCGCGAAGAGCTCGATATTGACTCGTCTGAAGCATGTTCTTTCTCACCCCTCCACACGGGCATGATAACAATGACAAAACATGCACTGGTGAACTTGGGATGACACAAGGATCACGATGATACGGAAAGTGTCAAAAACAGAGCTACAGTCAGCGACGAAATGTAGTTTAAAGTTTTCCAAGGAAAATTTACTAAAAGAGGAAAGTTTAGAGAGAAAATGGGTTTTCAATTGATAAAACTTTCATATTTTTGGGTTTTAAACCCAACACATTTAGAAAATGGAAATATTATGCCATAGGTCATCCAATTTTTGGTTCTTTCTTATTTGAATATGAATTTAATTAAATTTTATTTTGGTCCCCAAATTTAACCAAAACTTCAATTTAATCCTCTGTAAAGAAAATTTTAATCCCTTAATTGGGGTATGACAACTAAATGTAACATACCCAAACCAATACGAGTGAGTAGGTGGTCGACAAGTGAGTATGTGATCATCAATGACAATAGTGATTGACAAAGATATTTTAGAGATATTTTGGAGTTTTATGATTTTTGATATATTTTTAAAGATTAAGAAAATTTATTTTTTTAATAAAAAATGATTTTTATTTTTTAAAATGAAAGCAAATTAAAAACTTAATCATGTGTTCAACATTGATTGGTTGATTGATTTTTAACGAATATTTAATGATTGTAACGTACCAAAAAATTAAAATGTTAACGTTGAAAATGTTAAACATCTATTAGAAAAAAATGAAAAACAATATAATTTAAATATTTTTTTATATTAAACTTTCTAATTACATTAAATTATCTAATTGCATCAAATTTAAGGGTTTTTTGTCAACAAAACTACAGGGTCAATGGGATTATGGAAAAGCTTAGACCCCGTTTGGTTCACGTCATATTTCATTTCTGAGAGGAATGGTTTTTTCGAGTAACGATACCCATGTTTGGATGAGCTTCATTCCCAAGTGCAAGGAAAGAATGAATACCAACAGTGGTATTTCTTTTCTCTTTTCCCGGGAATATCAATCCCCCGTCTCTCGAGATATTTTCTTATTCTCGGTTCCGTTGTCTAAAATACCCCTGCTTGATTCTGGCTGAAATAAAATCTTCTGCTTCTTCGATTTGGCGTTCAATTTGCTTCTGGCATATTAGTCTCCCATCTCCCTTTTAGGTATTTGCTTCTGGCGTTGATATTTTCTACATGTTTCTGTATTTTCTCTACTACTACATTGATCTGCCCATTATTTTTCTAATTTTTATGGGTTCGTGGGACTAATTGAGATGCAACTATTTTTCAATGTACCCAGATTTGAGCTCACTTGAGTTGCAGTAGTTAAACCCATTCAAAATCTAAGGAGTTATCCATCTTTCATTGAAAAACTAGGTATGTTTTCATAGATGTGAACTTTTTCTTCTTCGTTTATGAAACTGATGCATTGTTTATTGAACTGGAACTTCTCTGTGTTTGGTTTGATTTCTTCTGGTTGTTAAGTCTTGTATTCTCCATTTTGAAATCTGTGCACTGGCTTTGAATGGTTGTGATTAATTCGTCTTTGGTTAATATTTTTTCTTCATGTACCCTTTTGTTCTGGACATGCCACGACGCCCAGATGCATACTAGAATTTATGCATACTTATTGCTTGGATAATTTTTAATACCCAGCTAAACCATTCTTTAAAATTCCACTGTGTGCTTTGTTCTGGCCAACAATACTGTAGTTCTTCCCAAATGCTGCTTCCTGGTGTGCAATCCCTGATAATGTGAATTCCTATCTCACTTTGGTTTGGACATGACTGACACCTGTGACTATTCATGATTCGTCTGTAATGGAGCATATGATTTGTGGGGGTAAAATCTTGACAGAATTTCCATATTTGAATTTTTATTTTTCTGTGACATTCACTTGCCCACAGTCTTTTGTAGAGCATCTTTTCTGAATCTGCGATTTCCTCTCCTTTAACGCTAGGAAATCTTGTTTCTTCCTTCTTCCTACCAAACTAGGGAGCCCAAGATACTGTTCAAGATTGGAAATACTTGATACTTCCAGTATTCTCCTCACATCTCCTCTGTTCGCATCAATCACGTTTGTGCTAAAAACTAATTCGGATTTATCCAAGTTTATGGCCTAGCCTAAGCATTTCCCATATTTGAGAAGTAAATTCTTTATCTTCCCTACTGTACTTGTTGTGGCTTCCCCAAATATTAAACAATCATCCGCAAACATTAGGTGAGTGATTTGAGGGGCATACCCGTTCAATTTTACACCCTGGAACGTGTTAGTGCTCACTGTTTTTCAGAATAAGGTTAAGAGGCCTTCGCTGCAAATGAGAAAGAGATATGGACTTAATGGATTGCCTTGCCGCAATCCTCTTTGGGGGTAGGAAGGATCTTCTGCCTCACCATTCATCGCAACCGAATATGAGATTGTAGTTACGCATCTTTTGATTTTCCTGATCCACTCTTCATCAAACCCCAATCTGTCCATCATGTGCCAAAGAAAATCCCATTCTACCCTGTCATACGCTTTGCTTATGTCCAATTTTAGAGCGAAGTAGCCTTTTCTTTCCTTCCCTCTTTCCTCTTTCATGTGAATGAGTGTAACAGTTCGTAGGATATGATGATGTTATCTGATATCAGTCTCCCTGGCACAAACGCACTTTGAACCTCGTCTATGCATATATGTAAATAGTCTTGCATTAGACGAACCAGCATTTTTGAAATGATCTTGTACACCACGTTGCATAAACTAATCGGTCTGAACTGGGTTAGTCTACTTGGTGTCTTAACTTTCAGAATTAGTACAATATGAGTTCGGTTTATGTCCTCCATATTATGCTCGTCATTGAGCAATCCTATGTACTAGTCACTTACTTTGGCTCCCACAATGTGCCAGAAGCGTTTATAGAAAATGGCCCCTAGTCCGTCTTCACCTGCTGCTCGTATTGGACTCATTGCTTTCACTGCCCTTGTAACCTCTTCCTGTTTGAAAGGTTTCAACAGATTTTCATTTATTTCTTCTGTTATACAAGGTGTCACTGCTGTCGTTATTTCCTCATCAATTCCTTCCAATTTCGTCTTGAATAAATATGTAAAATATTCACGCGCAAGTCTCTGTATATCCTTGAAATTGCTTTACTTTGAAATTGCTGGAAAGATATAGGTATTTGATGGTATTTCCTTGAAATACCCATGTCCGGATTTGACCCTCTAAGGATCCTCCAAATGCATGGAAAACTTAGAAAAATCTAAACATACCCGTGTTCAGCACATATTCACATCTAACACTCGCACTTGAATCCGAGTAACATAGGGCATTTCACCAAATCATAGTTTAAATTGTTTTAGGTGACTACCATTCAGCCTTCATTATTTCTGGAAGCAGCATTTACCTCCAATGACCCACAACCTGGCTGCGGTTTTGAGATTCTTTTCATATTTCATTCCTGGCTTCGTAGCACTTCGGATTTCTTTACATACTATTGCATTCTGAATGAGATGAACTCTTCTTTAGTCGTTGCATGAGAGCAGACACGAGAGATGACAAGAGAGTAATTGGCAGTCATAATAATAGGTATGTAATTTGCCGTTTTAAATTATTTTATCACTCTCTAAATAAAACCATGACAATCATATGAAATGTAGAACATAACAAGTGAATAGTCAGAAGTAGATTCATGGCAATGACAAAACAAGTATCATTCACTTGTTATGAATTTACATCCATTGTTTTTTTAATGAAAAATTTCCATAAATTATCATATTTCTTTTATTTTGTTCAATTCAATAAATTTCATTCTTCGTATTTAATTTTTTTATCATTTTAATCTTAATTTTTTTATAAGTATTATATTATTTTTCTGGTATAATAACAGTTTAACTATAATTTGTTGTTGCTATAGGAAAACTTATTTAAAAATGTATGGAAATTCAGGGATGGTGCATTGTGATGGAGGGTAGCGGTTTGAACTTTCATCATTATAAATGGTTAAATTTTGATTTTCATCTCTATACTATGATTAATTCACGGATTTAGTCCCCTTCATTTTGGCTTGGCATAATCCGATCTTTTATCATTATTGTTGTTGTCTAGTCCATACCACTAACACTGTTAAAAATGGTCATAAGGTGTCACCAATATTAGGCCTCCTCGCTTATAATGCCGACAGTGATATGAGTTTTGGTAGTCCTTTCGAGCTTGGGATTCTTGCCATTGACAAACCTATTAAAATCGATTTCAGCAACGTTACAAAGGCATCCAACATCACAGGATTCTTGCCATTGTGTGCTGCTTTTGAAGGAAATGGAAAAGTAACATTGAAGAACCAAGTATCACCCAACGATTGTGTGGCAAGCAGGCATGGCCAGTTTGGTGGTGAAGTCGCCGTAGTCGTTGGCTGTGAGGAAGAAGATGCAATGGAAACTGGTGGTGGGATGCTCGGTGGGAGCTGCTTTGGGGGCTTTTCTTTTGGGGTTGCTTTTAGTGGCGATGTTTGTTAAAGTTAAGAAGAAAGAAAGAATGGAGGAGTTGGCGAAGAGAGCATATAAAGAGGATGCTCTTCAGGTTTTCATGGTTGGATATATAAGGGCTCGAACATCACCTGCAACTTATCGTCATCTTTTAAATGGTGGCTATGGATTCTTTTTCTTTTCCTTTTTCATGTATGATCATTCTGTAGACACTAATTTTTTACTTCCCGGTCAAAGCCCGTTTTTTCCGACGTTCAACAAACAACAGCAGGAACCGCCAACCGAGTTCCACGGTCAACCTAAAGAATCCTCTCGCCTCACGCCTCGCACCTCCCTCCACATCACCCGAATCCTCGCCAACAACCAACAAACCGCAAGCAAAGCAAGAATTTCAGTCCTAATGAGAGTCTAAAACCAGATTAACACTATAAATACACATGCAAAACGAGGTAAAAGAGGGAAAAAAGCATTCGGTGAAAGCAAAAACAAATAACAGAGGGGGAAACCATCTTCCTCATAGCATCGATATTTATGGAAAGAGGTTTCAAAAGCTTGAAGGCTAAGCCCGTTCAGCTCCGTGTTTGGTGAAACAATTGCAACAGAACTAAACCATCGGCCTTACCCTTTCTCTTTAGAAACCATTTACTAAACCCCATCAATTCGGCATCTTCTTCGATCTACTTCTCAAATTCCTCAACAAGCTCCCAGATTCTACCCGTGTACGTGATTAAACGCATTTGCGATGCTTTTCCATCTTCAAGGTTAGAAGAAAGTTAGTCGGTTTGCCACTTGGCATGCCGTCGCTTCTTTGAATGGTAAAATGGAAAAGGGCAGAGGAATCGATGACAATGAACCAGTACCATTTCAGTCAGGACCACCCGTGGATAGATATGGTTTTTATAAAGCAAAATGTTAGTAATAGTAGCGCTGTGGAAGGTTTAGCAAAGTGTAGGGAAGCTAGAAGTGTAAGAAAATGGAAGAGAAAGTTGCTCCCAATCGCACAAAGGTTCAAGCAATTTGCGTGAAAATTAAGCAAATCCCACGTGAAAGGTGAAAGTGGACTTTGGGGGTAAAATCTCCCTATGGTCCTTCAAATATTACGAGTGAATTCCAATTTTAGTCCATTTAGTTTGTTCTCTTTACGTTTTAGTCATTGAATCTAATTCATAGTATCTTAATGTGGATTTCGAATTTAATATGTTTTCGTTTTAGTCCCTAATTTATGTTTTAATCGAAAATGGCCTAGGAATTTCTACATGTTTTAATTTAGTCACTATTTTCTTTTCTTACTTTTTTTTATTTAGCCACCGCTATTTTAATTTTGGCATTTTGATCATTATTTATTTATTTATTTATTTAGGTTTTTTAATATTTTATTTTATTTTGTTTCGTCATTTATTTATTTTAATATTTTTTTATTTTTTATCTCTATTTATCCATTTTATTTGTTTTATTATTATATTAATTTTTTTCTATTATTAGTTTTTTTTTATTTTACAATCTGACAATATCCTTGGCTCTTTTTAGGAGAATTTTTTTGATCAAATGTAAGTAATTCGAAACGGGCTTTTAAATTTAAATTTAATTTTTTTTTTAAATTTTCGCAATTAAAGACAACCGATAAATTAATTGGTATCGAAAGGCGGTTCAAAGGTGCTAATCCTTCCTTGATCGTAACCGACTCCCGAACCCGACACGTTTCTGGTAAAATGCAGATTAGGTAAGATGGTGTCCGACCTACCTAAATGTTTTTAAAATGGTCGGTGACGACTCTAACCCAATTAATCACGTCGAAGCCCAATTTTGAGGCCCACCCAAAAGACGGTCGCGACAGCTTAGCGACTCTGCTGGGGACAGGTAAGTGAGTTAGGCCATAATTAATTTTCGGTTGTCTTTTTAAGTGAAAATAGTAAATTTAAATTTATTTATTCAATTCTAATTATTTACCTTCGATTTTTTCAAGTGGTTGACCAACATCTTTAATATTATTTTAGAGACTGCCAAGATGCCAGAGGAGTGGAGAGAGTCTACGGTGATACCAATCTATAAGAATAAAGGAGATCCCCAACGTTGTGACAACTACAGAGGTATTAAACTACTTAGCCATACCATGAAGCTATGGGAAAGGGTGATAGAGGCTAGGTTGAGACAGGTTACTAGGGTTTCAGAAAACCAATTTGGCTTTATGCCAGGTAGGTCTACTACGGAGGCGATTCATCTACTTCGACGGCTTATGGAGAAATTCAGGGAAAAAATAGAGATATTCACATGGCGTTCATTGACCTTGAGAAGGCGTATGATAGCGTTCCCCGCAATACGATCTGGAAGACCTTGGAAACAAGACGGATCCCAACTGCTTATATCCGGGTGATTTATGATATGTACTATAGATCTACTACATACGTCAGGACTACAGTTGGTGACACCGAGGCATTCCCGGTGGAAATCGGACTCCACCAGGGGTCGACTCTTAGCCCTTACATCTTCGCCTTGATTATGGACGACATCTATTGTGCGACACCAGACGGTGTTCCATGGTGTATGCTTTTCACTGACGACATTGTCCTAGTTACTGAAACAAAAACTGAGTTGAATAGTAAACTGGCTACCTGAAAGACTGCTTAGGAAGAAAAATATCTAAGGATCAATATTGAAAAGACAGTATTTATGTTCAAACTTCAGTGGGAACCAAAACTATGAAGATGTCGAAGTATGCATAGAAGGACACATTCTCCCCTTAAAGGATTGTTTCAAGTACCTAGGGTCTATGATACATAAAGATGGGGGTGTGGATGATGACGTTACACACCGTATAAAGGCAGGATGGCTAACGTGGATGGTTGTTACTGGATTTTTGTGTGACAAGAAGGTGCCTCTAAAACTTAAGGGGAAAATTTTATAAAATGGCAATAAGACCAGCGCTGCTGTATGGATCAGAATGTTGGGCAATCAAGAAGGATCACGTAAGGAGGATGGAGGCCGCAGAAATGAGAATGCTTCAATGGGCATATAGTAAGACTCTGTGGGACATGACACCAAACTCTGCTATTAGGATGCCCTTGGGGGTGGTGTCTATATCTGAAACATTGAGGGAGGGTAGACTACGGTGGTTTAGGCATGTCCTTAGGCGACAACCGTCGGATACAGTCAGGAGGGTAGAGTCGATTACAGTCGACGGTGCCAGAAGGAGAGGACGACCAAGGCGGAAGTGGGAAGACTGCTTGAGATCTGATTTGAAGGATTTAGCCCTTACCGAGGACATGACCTCTGATAGGAAAGTATGGAGACTTAAGATCACGGTAGCCGAGTAGTGCGTGTCACATCCATAGAGTGTATCATATATGTCTTCTTTTAATGCCTTTGTAGTAATTTCCATGACTACTACTTTTTATGTCTCTGTAATTGGAATGTATGAAGGCTAAGAACTAGGGTAGCGGAGTAGTGTTGCCTTAGATTAGGTTTTAACCCATTTGACTTTATTCCTTCTCGTTGCTTGCTATCGTGACTTCACTTCTGTGTATCCTTCTTATCATGTTTCCTCTTTTTAAATTTTGTCAGGTCTTACGTTTCTGTCTATATGCAGAGATTTTTACGCAGAGACTCATTTGCAGGGATTACTTTCCATTACAGATGCGCATATGAAGACTACATATAATGACTATTCAACTATGTATTTATATATTTATTTATACATGCATTGTATTTTATCTTTATTTTTAATTTTCTGACGGACAGAGGTCTTCCACGGAAGCTTCTCTCAACTTGGCGTTGGGGGCAGCCTACTACCTTACCTCCCCCTTACCCCATTGTATATGGGAATAGGGTTTTGTTGTTGTTTTTTCAAGTAAATAGTTGTACTGACGTTTTTTTTTCAATGATTTTAGATTTTCAAAAGTTTTCATCTCAAGCTCTATACCCGGGCTCTGAACCCTATTTAAGTGGGGTGAAAACGACACCTTCGTGAGAATTTATTCTCCGTGCGGGCCTAGCAAGTAGCCTTTTGGATTCATATACCTTATGTCTTTGTGTGAATTTATTCACCGTACGAGCATAAGGGAATGTATCCTCTCGAGTTTAACTTAATCCACACAAGCTTGTAATGGGCTTAGGACTAAGGGTCTGGCAAGCCTAAGGGGGCACCAGCAAGGAGAACTCGGGTACCTTATTTTAGAACCTAAACCGGGAGAGTACAGGGAATTAGAGCCCACCCCAAAACCTCATTTCAAACCCTAGGATGTCTGAATTATTTCCTGCTTTACTTTATGTTCAAAGCATGCGAACTAGAAATTTATGCGGTTAGGACTTGTTCAAAATCGACTTCTGGATAGAGATCATGTCCGGGTAGGAATAATAAGCATGTGGGGTAGATATCATGTTGGGTAGGATTTTTTATTTTCATTATTATCCTTATCTCACTAACTTTTTCCTTTCATTGTTTTTTAATTTTTTTTATTATTTACATCATTCAAAATAGGTGTTGATCCACTAAAATGTGCTCGTTAAACCTAAATAATTTGCATTAATGGAAAAAAGGGTTGTAATACAAGAGGTGAAAAACGCAGAGGTCCGACTATGGTTAGAGAGACAATTTGCAAAACAATTCAACCAAGAAGGCGTGGTACCCGTAATAAAAAATATGCCACTATGCTGCATTGCAAAAGACTTAGAACAGACTGGGATTTACACCTAGCACATCAAAAGTCGACCTTTTGAGTTGGCAAAATTTGCAGGGGCAAGACGAAAGAGGCTATTAACCTGGATAGTCCCTTTAAAGACAACAAGAGCAGGGTGACAAAACGACAGCTGAAATTAGAGGCCATGGTTGAGGAATTCAAGAAGCAAGCAAGTAAACTTCAAATATTTCCTTTCGATGGAGGGCTCCAATGACTTATTCGTCGGGAAACGGTTCAACAAAATATGAAAGCCAGAGATGCAGTCATTTGAGACTCCTTGAAATAAGTACAAAAAGCAACTCAACACTTGCACGGTTTAGCCAGAGAAGCTGGAGCGGTTCGACATAGTATTCGACC